TCGCCTTTTAGGGATAATTCAGTACTGTCAAAGTGAAAATTCACATTGTTAGTTGTAGATAAAATACAGCTGAATAAAAAAGAAATTGTCAGCTGTAGATATAAAATACAACTGAAAGAGAACAATATTTTTGATTAGTTCATGTATTAAAGGGAAATCATGAAGCAACTGCTAAGTTCGAGTAAGTGTTTCTGGGAAAGTCACCTTTTCAAGGCTAGATAAAACACTATTATAGTAAGTACCAACAATTCTCATTATTTTATCTTTTAAATGAACCGTGGAAATGAGACGTCGGAGATAGGCTGAAGAAGTGACTAGAAGGGGTAAAATCAAGAATTAGGTCATAAGAGAAACTGTCGACGTAGAACTAATTCTAAAACTAATTATAAATTAATAAAAAGACAACAAATCAAAAGATTTACTCACTTAGAATGTCTTGTGGCATCACACCACAGAAGGCCTACACCAAAAGAATAGTAGTACGCAGAGCACAATTTAAACCTATATCAAGATGGAAAAATAATTTAAAAAGAGCTCTACAACTGCACTTTGTCTCATGGTCTAAACGACAAGAAGAGCAAGAAAAAGAAGCGAAGATCTCCTTCGACAATCGAAGCTGCAAAAGTAGAAATGAGAAAGAATAAAAACCCTTTAAATGCATTTCATACAATGTTATTAAGTAATATTCTCATTAAGTTACCGTCAAAGCAGCAACACCGGTAACACGGCAGAGTACGGTAGCAGTACGACAACGCCGTGATGCAATAATTAATACTGTCTTAATTTAGTTCACCGTTTCAGAGGTATATGTCTTAAAAGCACAACAATTGTTGGTGACTATTTGTGTTATCCAATATCGACCTCTTCCCCGTCTACACTCTCTTCAGGTTTGTTGTAAACAACACGACGAAGCCGTACATGCTGATACACTTTCTGAAAGCACAGACTCAATGCCCACATCACAACGTGTACAACGGGGATGAAAACAAAGTTACTCAGGGAAGCAATAGCTAAGGTACGACCAGCCTTGGACCAGTCTAGGATGGAATAAATATAGGCGTCTCCATATTGGTTGGTTCCTCCAAAACTGTAGTAAAGTGCTGTAAACACTGTGTAAACAACTCCAAAAGCCACCGGATACAGGAAGTGAAGGAGCCGAAACGGAAGTCGTGTTATCGCCATATTGAGTATCACGTAAATGGAAGAAACCGCATGCGTGTTAAATCTGATTGCTGTCAGTTCTTTTCCTAGTGAAAAAAAGGAAACATTAAAAGTTATTTAATAGTTTCTGTAAATGAAAATACCTGTCAATAACATAATTTACAAATGCAAAATACATAAAATTATTACACAAACACGTATTTCCATAAATAAATGTACTGCTAATGACACAAAACGGTAAACTATGAAATTAAAGTATAAGACACAAAACTATGTCCATACATAACTGTACTACGATGACTGTTTTATTCAAAACAGTAAAATAACACTAAGAAAGTAAAGAATAGGTTCTTGCACGTCATTACCCCATCAGGTATATGATGTTACACCCATATTCAGTGTAAAGACCAATCTGCAGCTCAATGGAAGATTTTGTCAAAATTACACAGGCAAAGGACACTAAAACACTCGTTACTACGTTTTTATATGCGTCAAATCATCACATGCATTGGAAAGGTATAAGCAGCTTCTAAAAGCCTGAACAAAATATAACACTCAAAACTGTAGTATTTTTTAAAATGAAGTAGCGTATTTTCAGTTATGATGTAATTTCGATTGTAGCAAATGTCAGTGACGCTGGAGAAACACTAAAGACATAGTACGAAAGGTAAATGCCCAAGGAAAATATTAAATACAAAAAAGGGATGAATTCAAGAGGTTAAAAAAAAGTAGACAACCTTTTTCCACGTCTTCTTGAGTATGAGGCACATAGGGCTAAACCTATATTTTATTGACCAGTTGGCACTTGATGGGCGATGTGGTCAACATCACACCAGCCGCTTTAACTTTCCATGGCTGTACGTGGTACCAACTCAAGGCTGGGGCGTCATGGGAGACAAGGTAATTGTTCAGAAAAGTCCAACTCTGCAGGACCCGAACCCTCTACCTTCTGATTCGCTGGCAAGCTTCTAGCCCCATACACCACTGCGACTCTCAAATTCAGAGGAGGGTGGGGGTTGAAGAAATAGGAGAACTGCTTGGCAGCCGCTGGTAATACCAGTTATATAACAAAGAAGATTGCACAATACTGAATACACGGTGAAAAGAAACGAGCAAAGACTCATCGAACAGGTGCATAAATGGGAAATAAAGGGACTGAGGAAGCGAAGACGCCAAAAACGAAATCTTAAAAGAGTACCCGGACTGAATTCCAGCTCGGATGTTGAAGAGATTGCACATAATAGAACGGAACTGAAGAATAGACCGCAAGCCCTGTACGACATACAATGACAGCACAGGTCAATGAAGAAATAGATTTCTATTGGTTAATGTTTCTTATGTGGATTCGGGACCCTATTATAGGAGGACAATAGAGCTGCTGGCCCCTAACAAGTATGTCGTAAAATGCGACTAATCAGGAGCCTGTCCTTTGATGATTTAACTCTCTGCATACAAGTAAGAAAGATCTATCATCGGTTATGCACGTAAAACGCAGTTCTGGGACGAGTCTAAAGTCCAGAAGTAGACGGACAACCAGATCTTTCCACGATGAACGCTAGGAAGAAGAAGAAAAAGAAGAAGAAGATGAAGAAGAAGAAGAAGAAGAAGAAGAAGAAGAAGAAGAAGAAGAAGAAAGAAGAAGAAGAAGAAGAAGAAGAAGAAGAAGAAGAAGAAGAAGAAGAAGAAGAAGAAGAAGAAGAAAAAGAAGAAGAAGAAGAAGAAGAAGAAGAAGAAGAAAAAGAAGAAGAAGAAGAAGAAGAAGAAGAAGAAGAAGAAGAAGAAGAAGAAGAAGAAGAAGAAGAAGAAAAGAAGAAAAAGAAGAAGAAGAAGAAGAAGAAGAAGAAGAAGAAGAAGAAGAAGAAGAAGAAGAAGAAGAAGAAGAAGAAGAAGAAGAAGAAGAAGAAGAAGAAGAAGAAGAAGAAGAAGAAGAAGAAGAAGAAGATGGGGTTACTGTTTCAGATTTTTAAAGAACTATATCGAACCATCGTTAGGATGTTTACTGTTTTAGGAATCAACATCATAGCAGAGCGTGCATTTCCATAAATTCTCTGACTCACTAAGTAAACGTCCTAAGGTGCAAGTTATGACTGTTTCAACAGTCCGCTGTCATACACACGTCTACTGTTCTTCTGATATTCCTTTCTTGTTTCCACAATAAATTATAAATGTCAAACAACCGTACAAACATTGCTTCATCTAACACAGCATCTTGCATCTGGATGTTGCTGAATGTTGAATTGAGAATCGACATCACAGCACTCGGGACACGCCCATAAGCGCTCCCTCCCCATCTCTAGCAGCAAGCGAAGAGTTAAAATTCAGATGGTACCAGTAACTGTCTGACTGTATATCCGTCTCGCTCTTTCCCCGAGTGTCAAGCGTCGGCCGGATCATCTTGTAACTCCTCGCAGTGCCATTTTCCTCAGACCGTAAGGATCCATCTGTTCCTCGGCACTGTTTACTCGCTCCCAAAAGTCCCTCACAACATGCAGCTTGTCATAAATCTGTTCACCACCAAGTAGTACAGAATCAGTCAGTCTATCTGACTGCTCATTTCCCAACACACCTGAAAGAAAATATCCAAAGCATGCTAACTACCCGGGACCTCAGAAGTCATGCATATTTGTATTTCTTGAGGTGCATTGCAAAGACGCTTTTCCACACATTCGGACATACTGGGCATATAGGGCTAGATCTAAACTTAATAGACCATCGGTAAGTGATTTGGCCAGCATCACGCCAACTGGCTGTACTTCCCAGGAAGTTTACCTGGTACCCATTTAAAGCTGGGTCGACCTTGAAGCCAAGGTAATTTTTTTGTTGTTGTTGTTGTTGCACAAAGTCCGGTTCCGTCAGGGTTTTGGTTTATTTTATTACTACTGAGTTGCATGCGATAGCGAAGGATAGAACAACTTGGCGTGAGACGGTGAAGGTCAATGCTCCACTTGGGTTAAGAAAGGCAGACAAAAAGACTACAGTTGCACCAACATATAAGGAAACACAACAATGAAGGGTACTCTCCCTTAAAACACACGAAGGAAAATGTCTTTAGTTTAACTGTACATCCTGTCACCTGACATTTAACACCTGTCGAATGATAACTGATTCTAATTTACTACACGCAGTAAATAGTCCCTTCAAAATCTGCTAAAGTAAAAGTGTCTGTCTCCCAACACTAAGATCAAAATATATCAAACGTTGATAAGACCAGTCGTTTTATATGGCTCTAGAACTTGGAGCACTACTAAGAGAGATGAAGCCGTGTTACAGGTTTTCGAAAAGTCTTACGACAAATCTTCGGATCCATCAAAGATGCAAACAACAGCGGGGAATGGGAAGTGAGAAGCAACAACGAAATTTATAATCTGTTTGAATCACCTTTGATCACTGTCATCATGAGAGCTAATAGACTGAAATGGTTGGATTAAATTGAAAGAATGTCAGATGACAGAGAAGTACAAACTTTACACACAAGGGAGATGTTTGGTCGCAGACTACGACGCAGACCAAAAATACGATGGAGAGATAATGTCCAGGCAGACCTGCAAACACTTGATGTCATCAACTGGAAAGAGAAGGCAAACCAGAGAGCTGAATGGAGGCGGATGATATCTGCAGCAATGAACATCAAGGGCTCGAAATGCTGAAGACGGAAAAGAAGTAAATGGGCAATAACTCAGGAAATGTGCGTGTTTGTTTTTGTTTAAATGTACAATAGGAAAACATTGTTTTGAGCAATGCTGGCTTCTAAGAACTGGTAAAAACTGTACAATACATTGTTTGCTAATAACTTACTAAAGATATATAGCTATAAATTAGATAGTGAATTTATTTCTTGCCTTTGTGTATCAACGACCAGTACCACACTGAGACCATCACAGAGCCAACTGCCGACACCGTGTACAGTAACCACACCATCTGGATGTACCAAGGCAGTCTCAAGCCTACAGGAAGAGAACAAAACAACACGCAATAAATTTACAGTTAAATGTCAAGTCAAAGACTATTCTCATGCCCTTGATGTATCAGGCATATAGTGCTAGACTTATATAGTAAAAAACAGAGAGGGAACCCTTGAGGACGTAGGGATGTCATATATTTAATAGGCAAACATATAATGTATTGATCGACACTCGTAGAAAGGTAAAAGGACACACTAGACAACATAAAAATCAATTGCCTTAGTTACTGTGTCGAGAATGCAACCTGTCATCCCCAAACTGCGTGTACGACTCGGTATGAAAACAAGTGTACTAAGATCATGACGGCCTGGCACCCCTAAAAATATGTCTATATCACCCATTTCTTTTGTGTCGCGGAATGAACAGCCAACCCTACACTGTGGACTAGTCGTGACGATGACATCCCTAGCGGACAGGTCACATTTTAAATTTAAACCCGTCAGGGGAAGGGGGGGGGGGTATATAGTCCCTCATATTGATATATACCTCTATCTGGTGAAATAAACATTTCTAAACCCTCTAGTTGTTTTGAGAAGTCTATATTTTCAAACTTGCAACTGTGGGATAGATTATTTTCTAAATATATTAAGAAATTCCTGTAAGCCTTTTTACTCTTTGGGCACGAATACAGAACTTCTTTTCTAGAGACGCCAAGCGGAATCTGGGGCGGGGATGCTTTGTCAGACCTCTGAGGTGTCGAGAGACATTTCAGTTCTCTCATTAAACTTTGGCGCATTCAAAGTACCAGTTTAATCTTTGAAGGATTCCTAAGCTTGGGATGATATCTCCTGGGAGGCCAGGCATTGAATCAGCAGTCTAGAAAGGCACCAACCACCAAAGTGTCCCCCACAAAAGCACCAACCACAAAAGTACCCACTACCAAACCATCACTATGGCAAACAGCAAGGTGGGAGCCAAAGAGTAGGCATCTGCTTATAGGCAGCGCCACTGACATTCACACCAGTGTGCCTTCTTCAGGAGCGTGTTGGGTTCCAGTGGCTGAAAGGCTGTTGTTCCAGTCCACCAGGACCACCCTCGGTCCAGAACACCCTCTTCATGAGCTTGTTCAGCTCAAATTTTGATCTATATGTGACTGTGTCTGCCAGATCAACCATTGAAGTGAACTTTCTCAGAAGGCCAGCCTGTTCCAGTATCATGAACTGATAAGTCCAGTGACTCCTACCTGGAATAGGAACAGATAAGTAGTGAACTCTATGGTCATGCCGTGTTCTATATTTACAGGTCCACGTCATATCACCATGATGATGTCAGGCTGCCTCTAAGAGATTCCTCAATGTCCGTCAAGATAATTTCGGTGTTGATCTTGCAATATTCCAATGCTTTTTATCTTCCTTTGAGTAATATATCATGTTGATGTTGAATTTATTTCAGTATTTCTAAGGTTTCACTATTGACTGGAGTGTCACTCATTCGTTGTTTCTAGCTGTCTAAAGTACATGTATGTTCAATTAATAATTTTCATATGTGTTAACATGGCTATGATAGTATAATATCATAGCCTTTGAGCTATCTTTTTATAGTAGTGGGGGTGTCCAGCCAAGTGTGCCTAGGAATATTAGATATTCTGTAGTGCCAGAGCTTGAGTTGCCTTACTCCTGAAATAAGTTGAGCGTATATTGGCCACGGGATCTCCCTTAGACCAATACGAACCGACGCCTCAACATTATTATTTCAGAGTGCTGTTGGTTCTTAAGGAGCAATCCTTAAATCAGGCACGCGACACGAGCGGAATGTGACAGAACATACATCCCGCATAAAAATCTGTGGTCTCGTCGTGGGATTGTTTGTGTACTCTGTTCAATCTTTAAAGTTGCTGGTAATCTTGGCCAGGAGGTTGTTCAGTGTTTGTATTTTGTTGTTAACACAGTTGTGACCACTCTGGGTCAGTTCTTAGAATGTGCTCTTGTGAGTGATTTGTGATCCAGTTTGTGGTGTTTTGTGGTGTTTCCAGTACATTGTGTAAGAAGTATTGTGAAACTTAAGGGAGTTTGTAACCCTTACCACTCCTTATATTTTAATTATAACACATTGGGTTATGTACAGCCTTGGTGGGTGGTAACTAAGTGATAAATTTTTGATTATATTTAAATTGTTGGTGACAATTTATTTTGTTTGTGGACTGTTAGATTGACAAGACAGCATGCCGCAGTCAAAAACGTTTATACAGGAATTGAAGGACATGGCTGTCCAGATAGGATTAGAGGGTAAGGAAATGACCGAGTGGATCAAAACCACGGAACGTGAGATGAGGATGGAAGCCACTGAGGCAGAACGACTCCGGATTGAATCTGATAGGATGCAGGAAACCGAACGACTCCGGATTGAATCTGAGAGGATTCAAGAAACCCAGCGACTCCGACTTGAGTCAGAAAGAATGAAGCTGGAACAGGAAGTAAGATTAAGAGAATTTGAACTTCAGGCACAGAGAGAAGGTAATAGACTCAGATCTCCAACGCCTGAGATTGATGGTACATCAAAGCACAGTAGCACAGCTCAAGCGATGAACTTCCCTATGTCAGTCTTCGACCCGAAGGCTGAGAACATTGAACAGTACCTAGACCGATTTGGCAAATTGGCGTCTTTGTACAATTCAGAGAGGAATATGTAGACGTTGAAGTTGGCTCAAGGTTTGCGTGGTGAGGCATACGAGATTTATCAACGGATGCCAACCGGTACAGATACTGATTATGATGTACTGTGTCAGGCTTTGCTGGAGCGTTTCGAACCAAATCATGGGACATACAGACAGAAGTTCCGAAATAAGAGAAAGTTGACAGGGGAGAACTATCCCTAGTTCGCCAGTCGCCTTCAATGATATTTGACTAGGTGGATGGAAATGTCTGGATACTCTTCTTCTTTTGAAGATTTATAGGAGATGGTCCTACCGGAACAACTCCGAGAGACATTACCTCCCCCTACGCAAACGTTCTTGACTGAGAATGGTGCTGACCGACTGAGTGAGATGTTGATGTATGCTGAGAGATGTGAAATGGCACATAAAGAGGTTTGTACAGGGAAACCCAAGGCCCAGGGCCAAGGGAAGAATGGCGGTAATGGTAATAAAACCCATCCAAATGAAACCCCTAAAAATAATTAATCCCAAGTACAACCTCAGAACCCCTCAAAATTTCAGGGAACGCAACGGAGACAACCCTTTAATGGGCATAAAAAGCCATACTGCAAGTTTTGTAACAACAATAACCACTGGACTAGTGAGTGTAAATCCAAACAGTCAGAGGGTTTGCAAGTATCAACTTTGTTGCCTACTGTAGTACCTTCTACCCACGAAAAGTTGTACAATGTTTCCAATAGGCCACCTGTGGTAGAGAGGGTCTGGGCTAACGGATATTTTTAAAATTGTTTGTACGACAGCGGACTATCGTATGGGGCTGTGGTGAGGCCAGAGTTTTTAAAATCTACCAGTATACAGGCAGATTCATAGAGCTCCAATGTGCTGCATTGGATGCTAAACCTTTAAACTTGCCGATTGCTAAGATTAAAGTCAAGTCAAAGTATATGTCGGGGGTAATTGAGGCAGCGGTGCTTGAACACTGTACCTTTGATTTAATTTTAGGCGCTACTTATGTATTTTTAGCAGAGCCGAAGAAACCCTCAGAGCATATTGCTGCTGTGACCACCCGAGCACAGCATAAGAGTGCCTCAGAAGATTCTCCTTATGTAAATCCTCTACCTGGGGAAATCAAAGTGGCCCAAAGTAGTGTTCTGACTCTTAAGGCATGTTTTAAGAGGTTAACTGCAAGTCACGATCCTCCTCAGAAGAAAGAATTCTTAATTAAAGCTAAACACCTTTATAGGTTGGCATGTGACAAGTATACAGAACACAGTCAGCTAGTTGTACCTAAAACATATCGACAGAAGATTCTCCAGATGGGACACACTATAGCTTACAGTGTCCACATGGGAATTCATGCAACGACACAACGCATTGCTTGTCATTACTTTTGGCCAGGTATGACAGCAGATATCATGCGTTATGTCAAATCCTGTCCGGAGTGTCAGAAGGCAGGAATGCACCAGTCGGATTGGGGGAAACTTCTGTAACCGCCACACCTTTTGAGATGGTGGCGGTCGATCTGGTGGGACCACTTACTCTCACAAAGAAGAAGAATGCTCACATCTTGACCTTGGTAGACTGTTGTTCGGCTTGGCCGGAAGCGATTGCTCTTCGGAAGATCGACAGTAAGACTGTGGCAGAGGCATTGATGAGCATTTTCACTAGAGTGGGATTCCCTTCGCAGATACTGTCAGACAATGGGTCTCAGTTCTGAGGGAAATTGATAGAGGAAGTTTTTCAGATAATCAAATCTCAACACATTTGAACCAGTCCATACCGACCCCAAGCGAATGGCCAGAATGTGCGGTTCAATAAAACGCTGGTATCGCTCCTGAGAAGATTAACCCAGGAAAAGCCAGAGAGGTGGGACGAGTATCTGTCTGCAGCACTATTCGCCTACCGGGAAGTACTCAATGCCTCTACTGGATTTCCGCCCTCGACCTTGGAGTTTGGAAGACAAATTTCCGGACCCTTGGCCATCTCAGGAAGACGTGGACAGACGAAACGGCAGATGATTCCTTGAAAACCATATCACAATATGTACAGGAACTCATGGAAAGGTTAAAGCTATGATGGGACCTGGCTAAGGAGAATTTGATTCGTGCACTTAAGAAGTACGCTGTACACTTCAACCGGAAAACGAAGGAACGATGTCTTGGGGTTGGGGATAGGATTCTATTGCTTCTACCCTCAAGGAAGTCTAAGTTATAATGCAACTCCTGTCAGAGTACGACTCGGTCCTGACAGAGAAGCCAGGGCGCACTTCATTATTTGAGTATAATATGACATTTGTCACTGATGAGCCTATTCGTCAACGCCCTTTTCAGATCCCTTTGTCTAAAGAGGAAGCAGTGAGAAAGGGCATCGAGTATTTACTTAAGGAAGG